TAGATTGGATCACGTCGTTTTCCACCCATCTTCCTCCCATCTATTCCATCGATAAACGTGAAAATCGTTGACAGAATTCAGAAAAAGAGATTCCTCTCCATCTATTCCGAGAAAATCTTCAAAAGTTTCTCCGCTCCAAAATGGCGAATCTGCGTAGAGATCGATATCTAAGCCTATCGTGAGAGGCTCTCCCCACCTGAAAATCACGCAAGAGCAACAAGTGCAAGAGGAAGAATGCAAAGAGGCGAAGAAACGATCCGAGGAAAATACTGTGGACGGAAGTGGAGTAAAAAAAAAAACAGGGAGAAAAAGTCGAGCAAGGCGCGAAGAAAAGGGACCACGAACATGTATGGTCCAACGAGATGAAGCGAAGACGAAGAAGAAGAAGGAGATGAAAAAAGGAAGAAGTGGAAAATCTCGAGAGAGATCTCGAGATGCAGATACACTGGTGACGTGTATTGACTTTGTAATCGCGACCTTGAATTATTGTACGAACGATGACGAGGCGGTATTTAATGTATCGAAAGAGGTTCCGTGGCTGATTCTTACCGTCCAGTCATCCCAGTCATTGTATGTTCCAGGATTTCTGAACCGGTAGCTGCCTGAAGGTGGCTACCGTCGTTGATCGTTCAATATACAATGCTCTGAGAACTATTCCAGTAGCTGGATCCGCTAGCCCGAGGCGCGGATGATCGATTAAAATCTTGGCAAAGCTAGAGAGAGAGAATGTTTCGTTCTCTCGAGTAGCTAATTTCAAGCTTTAATAATCTAAGAGGCAAATATTATATGTTCAATCTTCTGTTTCTCGAAACTTTTCTCCGCTACCAGAAGAAACCACCTCGTTTCTTTCGTTCGCCTATTGCTTGGAAATTAATTAGCCAGGCGAAAAGATAATTTCAGGGGTGAAATTTCATAGTGTGCAGTAGTATATTCTGGCCAGCTCGAACGAGATTTTACGACAGAGAAGATTTCGCGAAACAATCTTGCATCCGAGGAGGGGGAAGATTTTCTTGCCAAGGGATTGGTCCATGGTTATCCGCATAACTGCGAACAATTATCTCTCGGTTACGGATTTTTCAGTCGCGTTACAGCCACGATAGCGTGCTGTCGACCGTTAAAAGCAGCTAGACGCTCCTTAAAAGGATTTATCACTGTCGTTACATCGACCGTCAGGCCCGATAGCCTGTTCGAACTAGCGCTAGCTATAATTACAGTGATCCTGCGCCCCGGAAAATTTGCCAACCTTTTTGCCGTTGCTGTTTTCTGAATTAGACTCGAAACCGATGTAACTACCGTTTCCTGGAGGAGCTTAAAATTGTCAGAATTTGAATAAATCGTGAAATTGTCGACTTGGAATCTTGAGAATTAAATCTCGCAATTTCTGAATTCGACTCTTCTGTCAAATTCCAATTTTGGGAGAAGGAAAAATTTCGCAATGTCCTGAATTCGCAAGAAACTCCATATAGTTTAGGCAAATTCGATATCTAGATACTGAGAAACGGTGTCGAAAAATCGAAGAGACCGGAATCCACCAAGAATATACTCGTACGCTCTAGAATTCCAATTTCGTTCCCTTCACCGGCGCTCGATGTTCCGTCAGATCAACGTCAGTCACCCCGTGAAACACGGGATCCTGAACTTCCACGTTAATTTGCCTATCTTCCAAGATGACTTCACAGATTCGTGGATCGATCAGCCGGTACACCGTGACTGCCTGGTATCTCGAACGAGAGAGAATTGAAAAATCCGCGACAGCCGCGCAGCTTTTACACGGATTCCGGACATTTTTCACCCTGGATAGCTTTCATGGCGTCGAACGAAAAACGATCGTCACCACGGCTAAAGTCTAAATTTAAACGAACGCCGCTCTAAGTGATATCAACTCGGTTCTTCCGTCGATCGTTCCGATTTCAAATGGTCCCCGGGTGTGAGAAGTTATTCCATCGCGAAGCCCCGTTTCTTTTCACCATTGTTCCACGCGGTGGAAGGATTTTCGACCTGTGTCCTCTCTTGTACACAAGTCGAGAGAGGTCTGGTATGTTGCACGAACGAACGAACGAACGAATTTCACGCCGGAATACCGGACACGTTTTTGCCCACCAAGGCTGCACACTTGAGGGAGCAAGCTGCCTCTAATCCTCGCGGATAAAACTACCGATCGAGCTGTGTGCATGCCGCTGGTGATGCAGCCGCGTCACGGGGAATTCAGGTTAATTTGTAGCTGTAATGATTCATCGAGACTGATTGGGCGTTTCTTCGAACCGGCATTTTCCTATCCTTTATATCACGTTATAAACTTGCCCGTTCCTGTGTGTGACGTTTATTTACGCTGAATTTTAAACAGTCTCGCGTTCTAAACCGTCAGGTGTTCCTGTTTCGTCGATTAATCGTTACTTTAACGGATACAGATTCCCGGTTAATCGTCGACTCACCTCTCTTCTCGTATGAAAAATAAGCGACACACGGGCGAAAGAGAAGGAGGTGGTGGTGGTGGAGGAGATCGAAACGTGTCGAGAGTTAACGGTGTTTCACTCGGTAGAAATGCAAGCGCGGGGCCAAACCGAGCTGCTTTCATAAAATCAGTGAACTGTGTCGGCTGCCTGGCGACGACGCCGACTCCGAGACTGCGACTGCGGCGGCGGCGACAGCTTTTGACCCGGCAAAAACCGGGCACGTCCGCTGAATTTTTGGCTGAATCTTCGATCCCCGTGGCCCAGCGCGAAACTGCCAGATATGCAGCCCACAGAATCGCGAATGTCCACACGGCATATGGCCGTTCACCGTCTCTCCTCTCTCTCTTTCGAAACACGTGAAGTGAAAAGAAATTGTTTGCGAATTGCTCGATTCGTAAATGCGAGGATCACGCGGGGAAAATTAATAAGATCGTTGGAATAGCGGAGAATTGTGATTGCGAAGCGTGAAAGGGATGGTTATCGGTCAATTCCAACGGATAAAGAAGATTCCTCGAGGCGAAATCACACGAGGGCTAATCTTCGTGGAGTAAGAGGCCAATTAACACTTCTAATCTCGAGAAGCGGCGTTTCTCGCTAATCCCAAGACAAAATCGGCGGTCTTGCCCGTTATCTTGGACCATTGCCGACGTTACTTATCCATTGTCTCGGGCTTAAGGGAAACGGTAGCTAGATCTTAAATCTAAATTGCATCTGTTTGTCACCGTCTCCCTTCCCCCACCCCTATTCGCGTGACAAACGTGTCCCTCTGACAACAATTAACACGCCACCAGCGAACGATCGAGAAAAGCTAATCTAAGGAGAAACTGAAAGATTTCGTGCGAAATCTTCTAATTAGAAATCCACTCACAGATCCAATTTCCCGTTCGCTCTTTAGAGAACTATGTAAAATGTCAAATTTGACCAATTTTGCGATTGAATCGTACCTACAAACGAGGAAATCTAAAATTGCATTTTCTCAGTGAAAAAAGAAACGATCGTAAATTTTGCACGACGAACGATAATTACAATTATCGACATGCCGGTAGGAAATGTTGAAATATCGTTCGAGGGCAAAAGGGTTAATATAATAATCGGTGTAAAATACAGGTAAGAAGAGAAACGATAAAATTCCATTGGGAAAAAATGAGATTGAAGTGATTTTCTGAATTAGAGATTCGTTAAATCATTATCAATGATTGATGTAATATCAATCAGCCGGTATTATAATCAGCTGGTGTGTGTCTAGATTGACAAACTGGTCTGTCAGTGAGGTTGGCAGACGCGGAATTCGCCGCGCGATATATCGAAAATTGGGATGTCTGAAATCGGCCCGTTAATGCGTTAATCCGCCGTTCCGTTGGGAAAAACTCTGTTCGACCGGTGAAAAAGCTGAAATCGATCACGGTTTGTCCGTGGCGAATGCGGCTGACTAAGCCGCGAGTTATGCCCGGTTCTACACACATTTACGTACCGCTATATCTATTTATCGAACTTGTCCAGCACGCCCCAGCTTCCTCTCTCTTTCTCTATCTCTCTGTTCTCGTTTTCTTCTCTTCTCCCTACCACATGCAACGCAACTGGAACTCGCTCAGATCGTATCTTTGCCGGATTTTTCAGGTAATCACCAGAGCGCGCCGATCAGTTTCAACAGCGATAATTGATTTCCAACTACCGATCGAACGTTCGTAAAAATCTCCGGTAAATTCGTTCTATCTAACACAGCTACCGAATGACACCGTGCTTAATTCCTACGTTTTCTAATTAACTCCGATGAATTTCTATGGCATTTTCTTATTTTCGAATCTTCCAAAGAGTGGAATTTCTCGTTGAGAGATTTTTCTGAAATTTCTGATTAAAAGATTTTCCTGAAATTTATCACGGAGATTTTTCCGAAATTTCTCATCGAGAGATTTTCCATATTCCGACCATGATCAGCACCACGAGCGTGGCTCTCAATTACAAAGCAAAGGGTTAAGGAGCAAACAATCGCGGCGAATCGAATACAGGAAGCACTGGACCGTTTTCTTGCCCAACGGAACACGTTCATCGAGCGAGCGAATCTTTCGAACAATCCTGAGGGTCTTATTCGGATGCTTCAGCGCTTGGTATGCCATGCCAGGGATAACAGAGAGAGATGGACCGCTCTGTGTCTTATTAGGGAATGCATTGTGACCGCTGTTGTGGCAATCACAGCTGATTGCGTGAAAATTTCACGGATAAAAGAGACTGACACCAAAAACCGCACAAGGGCAGCCAATTCTCCGCGCGTGTTTCCACGTTTCAAGGCTCTTTTCCATGATTATTCCGCTATTTTTTCCTACGTCGAACGTGTTTCAGCAACGTGGGAAATTAGAGAGATACGTAGATCTGTATCATATGAATCACTTCTGGTCCACGATAATTACAACTGTAATATTCATTTCTCGAGTCGATACTCTAGGTGTTCTACTAACATTCAGAGGAAGACCGAAGTTCCAAGGATTTAGTGCAATCGCTGTTTCCTTAGAATTAAATAATCTTGAGGAAAGAGAACGGTAAACGACTTACTTTCAAGGTGAGAAGCGCTCCAGGAAATATACCAAGTGCAGCGAGACTCTGATTGTCGTCGATCAGCTCGTGCTCGCCCAACATCAGATGCTGATCGTAGGGTCCAGCACCACAGATCTGCATCGTCTGAAAAACAGAACAAAAAAAGACATACTTTAATTCTCGTACAATTCACAATTTCAATCGTTCATTCACCGAATTTGGTTCTATTTTTTATAGTAGACACTGCAAGTTTTCTTTCTTTTCTCTCGGCGAAAAGGTGTAATTTAAATCACACGATACTTTCTGCACGAACATAATTGAGTACCCGGACGTTTATGAACGCCAGTGTGCATCAAGCAGCGGGGACACAAAGTGTTCGCCATAAAGCGGCGAAAATGAGTCGCGGTGGCAAGAGATTCCAGGAACGTACAAAATTCCAGCGGGCCGTGTTACCTCCTTTTGCAGGCATTGAACTCCAAAGCGAACCGCGACGCGACCAGGGAGAAGAAACCGATGGAAAAGGACCGAACAGTCGGAATCGAGGAGCATGCGTCCCGGGTAATTGCTTAATTTGTGGAAGCAACTTTGAGAACGATCTCGAGTTTGCCCTTCGTTCAAGAACAGGAGGCCAACAGCTGCCCCTGTTGCCTCGTGTAAACGTGCAGGTCGGTTTCTGTTTTACGAGCGAGTAACCGGCGGGAGAAACAGCCAGAAAAGTAGAGAGAGAGAGAGAGAGAGAGAAGAAAACGGAGATGAGCACACACGAGAAAACCCTTTGAAAACTGAGCAAGTTTTCTTTCGTTCATTTGAGTGTATCAATGAAACCAATCGATTTATCGAGTTAATTCTTGAAGAATGTATGAAGAATGGTGAAGTAAGTACTATTTTACAAAGATGTGAATTTCTCAGCCTCTAATTTCGCGGATCTCCACGGAGGACCTCTGAAGTGACGAAAGTTACGGGATAATACCAGCGTTTACCCCGGAGAGAGAAAAAAGTACGAAAAGATAACCGGAGGGAAGAGTAGAAATGATTGGTTGGGTCAAGAAACTGATGCTTCCTCGTTAGGGTGTTTCAGCTCTCGAGCCACGAGAGGTGCTCGTCCAGAGCGATAAATAGAGGCGAGAGCTTAACAACATGTTTACGAGATACAATGGTAGAAGTCCAAATATTCGTTCACCTCTCGAATTATTTCGAAAGCCTACTCGAATCGTTAGAAAGAATTGCTCAATCCAAATCTTTCCTTTCCGAGCTTCAATTGTACACTTTTGACACCAATTGCCACAAGATTTCACATTTTTCATATTTTCATTTCATATTTTTGAAGAAAGACAAAAAAGAGGCGGTGTATGTCTGTCGTATTGATCTCGGAAACAAAACAGAAAGCCAGCGTGTCGATTCGTTCGTCACAGAGGAACAGTGGAATAGAACGGTGTAAAAAAGGAAGGGAGCCTGGTGACATGGAATGTGGTAGAAAGTAATATTTAGAGGTGGCAATCGGCGTTACCTATGATTACGTAAAACCGTGGCGCACCGGCTATTGTCCCGATTTGCTTGCTTGCTCGCGACTTTTGTCCGCGTTCGACCATGAAATTCGTCGATTTTTGCCGTTGCACAAAAACCAAACGCGAACTATCATTTTTGTCAAACTCTGCCCGATCTGTGTTACACCCTTTCGCACCAGTCGATACTTTCGAACCGGTATCCTCTACTAATCTTTGGCTACTTCGCAAAGGTAGAACGACGATCCATCGATCAGCCGGCATAGAGATCCCCGTCGCTGGAAAACGATCTTCCCCGGTTCAACACAGCCGCGAGATGCGCCGGCTTAAATTTAAGAGTTTTACTACTGGCCGGCTGGCAATTATTGCGGTAAAACCTGAGAGGAGGCAACGTTCTGTCCTTTTTGCCGCTTCGTTTTTGCGGGAAACCCCGGAGAAAAATTCGTGAACCCATTGCGGAGAGAAGAATCTACCTAGGGTAGATACTGTGTAGGTCTTCTGCGTCTTTCAACACGGAATCTTTCGTTCTCCGTCGATCGAAATCGCTGAGAATTGTTCCGCCGGTTCGTTAACCCTTTGACACATTTTTATCAAGGAACAAAAGTTACTTTTTGACTCGGTGCTCGTGCAAATGTATGCGCAAAGGAAGAGTAGAGTGTCCTGAATTCAATGTATGCCGATTTTTTCTATTTCTTTCAAGAGAGAATAGTGAAAAGGTTAAAATAAGGAGTGTGTTAGAAAAATAAAAATAAAAGTTTCGTTCGTACATTGTATCAGATATCAAAGAGTTCGCGTATATAAACTACTGTCGTTATTAATACTGTTAGAATGCTATTCAAAGCCACGATTCCTCGAACACGCGTAAAAATCCTACCCCCGAAGTGTTCTATACACCCGAACCGTCCAGTTTCTCTATTCCAATAATCCTCCAGGACTGATTCGAAGTTTTACATGAAAAAACAAGAGACGCCTCGAAGGAGAGATAGAAAGAGAGAGAATTGAACAGCCACTGGTACTGAAAGGGCCAGAGTGGAGCGAAGTGGAGTGAAGTGGAGTGGAGAAGTCGGAGAGGCCTGTTATTAGCGCGAGGTTTATGCTCTTTCGGCTTTTTGCCGGTGGCCTCGACGAGAAGGAGAAGGAGATGGCCACAGCCTCGCAATATAAATACGCTTAATAGTTTAAGCACACTGCCGGGGCCCGGGCATATGCTAACCAGCCATAACTACGGCTTTACTACTTTCCTCCAGTGAACGAACCCAAACGGGAGAAGAACCTGCTTACAGGGTGTCCGATTTTAGGAGGGACTCCGTCGTTTCTCTCCATCGTCTACCTCGAAAACGATCGACCCTCGTAAAAACCAACTGCGGAGGTAATCTCATTCAATTACCACGCGATCACTGTCATTGTCAGCAGCTACGATCGATTGGGGCTGTGAACGCGTTGAAAAAACATCGCGAAACGTGAACGTGTTTGTTTGTTTGTTTGTTTGATGAAATGGAAATTTTGTTTTTATTGTACACTCACCATTAGTTTTAGCTCTTTCAAAGTGATCTCCGAGGACACTTTCAGTTCGTGAGATCCTTTCAGGTTCCTCCTGGTCCTCGATGGCCTGGCGTTCTCCATTTTAGGTCTCTTCGCTGCCACCTGAGGCAGAATTCGAATTCTGAATTAAAATATTGGGTCAGAAGTTCGATTCTCTGAACAGAGATCTGAAGTGTAAACGAGAATATTTTAATTCAGAATAATTTTTTATCAATAAAGTTAGTTCAGGTATTTTCTTTCTTTATCAAATCTCGTACGAGTCCTTAACACGTCCATATCATTTCAAGCATGAAAATGAAAGAAAAATAAGAGAGAAGAGGGGAAGAGCAGGTGGGCTTGAGGTCGAGCCGTGGAAACGTAATGACGATTATTATCGTGAAATGAATGAGATGGGGCCAATCTCCTTATCGACCGACATCAATCTGAACCGGTGGACCGGTTCCAAGACACACACTCGACGGTGACTCGGCACGTCGGACCATTAACAAAAATCCCTTGTCGCTCGATGCTCGAGTAATTCACCGAGGCACGCTCGTAATTTCGTTGATTCGATCTCTTCGGGAACTATCGATTTTTTGATCCCCCCCGCTCACCTCAGTGTCGTTCTCTGCCTTCGCGTCCTCGTTCTCCTCCACGCACTTTATATAAATCGTCGCCCTGTCGTATCTCAGGCTCTCCAGACGTTCTTGCTCCACTCTGACCAGCATACACGCCGCGCACAGATCTGGAAACACAGAGAAAATAATCAAATTCGAAATTCTCCCTTTATTCAATTCTTACGCATATTCCAATTTCTACCGTCGCAAGATCTATCGAAAGAATGATAAAAGCGAACCGTATCATCTTTTAAAAGATAAAGAACAGAAGGAGAAACTTTGTTTCAATTACTACAGAAAATTCTATTCTCTACAGAGTCGAACGAATTAGCGATTCGTCAACGATCGACACCCAGCATCCATCTTCTCCTTCAGAAGCATCGAAAGCAACACCGAACCTGCCACAACGGCCACTTGGAAGATTCTCCTCCGACACCCTTTCCCGCAGGCACCCTTCGTTAACACCAGCCCGGGTCAGATTACATCGACACCACCCTCTCGAGCGACAAAGTTACAAAGTCACAAGAGAAACTACCAATAGCGTATGAAAGCCAGAGGGAGAGAGAGCAGAGGATCAGGGTGTGGGCGGTGATTTTGACGACGACGAAGCCGCCACTGGCTCTCAGTGGCCTCTTATCCCATGTATAATAGATTGCTTACGGTCGGCGAGATTAATACAGTAATTAATAATATACGGTGACCAGAGCCGCGTAAGAAGCGGCCATTGTTGCTGGCCGGACAGCGCAAAAACCAGGCAGAACCAGGCTCTCCTATCCAAGAGCCGGCTTTCAGGAGCGTTACGTCATGTTCAGACAGTTTTCCGCTAAAGGGGCTGCCCGCCAACCCCTGTACCAACGCTCTGACCCCGAATGAATTCGAATGTCCACCACCCTTCCCCTCCTCCACGGCCCTAATTACCCCAAGTATCGCCGCCGCTCCACGTGAACATCCCGCAAGAAGAGGCTGTGGAACAATGACCTAATGGCCAATGACCTGCTACTAGAGAGCTAAACGAACCCATCAATTTTAGTCTCCTAAGTACTGTAAAGTTGTATGTTTCTTTCTTTTTTGTTTTTTCAAGAGATTCGATTTTGATTTTGGGTAGATGGTACAGCGGTTTCTGGGAATGGATAGGTGGAAGGAGTTGGTACTCCGAATGAATTCAAATGTCCACCCTTGGACCTCCAATTACAGAGCGGTGCATGAGGGCGTACGATAGGATCGTTTGCTATCGAGTTTAATCGGAAATACGACGAACCTAAGCTAATCAGGGATGCGTAGGGCTGACTGAGAATCAGGAACACCCCTTTCCCACTCCCTTAACCCTTTCGTTCAGTTATTCTACGTCATCTCTTCTGGACGCATC